AACTGGAAATGATCCTCACTATATTCATTTACCTATAACTAAGTATGATTTTGCTACCTTGGTTAGAGTGTTACTGGAAAGTGGTAATTAACTCACTCACTTAGACTCAATTTTGGAGTTTTAGAAAGCAGGCATTCTTTATTACAGCGCCGGACACACAGGGGAGAGCTCCTCCTCATCTGTGTGTGAGAATGAAATCAAGAAGCATTTATACTACCTTAGTCATACGTATTCAACGCATTTTTATCATATTCATAACTTTTCCAGGAACTCATTTAGCATATGTTAATGTCTCTTGCGCATGTCAGTTGGAGACTTCGGGTAGTCGTCGGGGGTCTTCAGATGAAGGCTCGTCGTCTTCTTCACTGTGTTCGCCAGTTGACCCTTGCTTCTGCGCAAACTCAGTCCCGTGGTCACGTAGATCTTGTCCTTCAAGGCTGGCCTGGTCTGGTTTTGTTGCTAATTTTCAGCTTCTTTATCTTTACGGTTCCTTGCACCTGCCACTACAAGGCCAAACCGTCTCCAGTAAGATTATTTATGAGTGCCTTATTCTACAGTTATTCCAACTATTCCTCAAAAGATCAGCATTTGTTCTGCAGCACAATTGTCAAATGGTTAAAACACCTTAAATTGATCTTAATAATTCTATTCCACAAATACCTATTTTCTAATAATCTTAGTTTGCAGGTATCAGGTAAGCTCGGGTCCTGTCCAGGGGATCATGCAGACGGTGGTTTGGGGGTACCCACTTTGCGAACCCATGTGTCCTGTTTTGATAAGAGGTCACACATTTCTTTCCTCCAGTTCCTGTGTTTCCTCCAAACTACATTCATCGGTGTCTCGCCAGATGTCCCCATCCCACCCCTCAAGATCTACACTTATCATTGACTTTTGGATCTGGACAATTACTGGGTTTTTTTTTTTTTGCTCACACCAACATAATTCCAATGTTTTCTTCCAGTAACTGTATTCACTCTCTTTTGTGTAAAAATTCCTTCCTTAAACAATCAATTTCTATAAATTATCTTTCTCCACTATTCCAAAGTGATCTAGCAACTGAATCAAACAGGCACCTAAGATGGGGCACACGTTCCCTTTACCTTGGCCAGCCCAAAAACTTCTGTGGCTCTGTTCCAACTTCCCCACAACGGCCATCAGATCAATCCGTTTCACCTTCACCCACTGTACGTCTAGGGGAGAAGGGACACAACTGTGCCTCCATAATAGCTCCACTGTCAGCATCCTGCTGACTACGTCAATTAAAATGTCGTGGAGGCTCTCAAGATAAACAGACAACAATTAAATTTATGTTAATACAATCAATTGGCACTCTGGCAATCGTTCACAGAGGGCAGATCTGAGTGTCAGGGAGAGGAAAAGCTATTGCTGCACAAACTCCTGGGATTTAACGACAATCCAAAGCGCTTGGTCACTCACCTAAAAAGCGAGGGCTCTCAACCGTGGGGAATTTCTTCGGGTGGCATCCCGACCCAAGGGGGGAACCTCAAGGAGTTTCCTTGGGCAGCGTCCCGACCCAAGGGGACGGTCCTCGACCTCAGCTGTGCTGCTCCAGGGAGGACTAGCTCAAAATGGCTCCCCCCGGGGGCTCCGTTTCTACCCTCGACAAATCTGATCTGCGGTCAATAATCAGCCCTTATTGGCTGAGGGCCCCAATTCCCATAAAGCCCTGAGAACAAGGGCACCAAAAAAAAAAAAAAAAAATCAATGGCCACTATATTTCAGCAGCCAGGAAGCCCCATTTCCAGCAGGTGGGTGCACCTGCCACACATGGTTTCCTTTTGCATGTCAAATAATTTAAGAGAATTTTTGCCTGTTTTATCGATTGACTTTGCTCTGTGAGGACCCTGACAGAAAGTATTCCCTTCAATTACACATGAAGAAGAAATGGAAAAGTGAAAACTTCATCTTTGCCCTAAAACCAAAGGGACCCATTAGCCCTGGTTAGTGCCAAAGGGGGCCCCAGCCTGGAAGATGACTCCGGGAGGGCATCTTGCACTTGTCTCGAGACTGAAATCCCTCGCTCCATCAGCATCATCCTGAGCTGTTGGTAACAGCACCCGAGGAGGTCAGAAATCCCTTGCCTGCGGTTTCCTCCTCTTTGGGGGGACTGGGAGCTCCTCGCTGCCCCTGTGACAGTGCCTGGAAAGCAGGGCAGAGCTGTGGGCTCAGCCCCGGGTGGGACTGTGTCCCAGCCCTTGGACGGAGCTGCCCGAGGGGACGTGTTCCCCTCTCCGGGAGGGCAGCTCCCCCGCCTGCGCTCCAGCGGCTCTCCACGAGCGCCCTGAGAGACGTCCCCACGCAGCCTCGGCCCGGCTGTGAGGTCACAGTGGGGCTGTGAGGTCACAGAGCCCTGTCATGTCACGACAGCCATAAATATGGATCGCTCAGCCCCCGGAGCCCACTGCAGCACCAGCAGCGGCAGCAGCAGCAGCACGGTGCAAGCAGAGGGCCATGGCCCCCACCCACCACCTCCTCCTCATCCTCCTGCTCCTGGTGGCCCTGCATGCCAGGGCTGCCAGGACAGCTCCGTGGAAAGCGTGGGGAACAGGTAAGTGGGGGACGGCTCGTGCAGCCTTTCACGGGCCAGAGGGCTCTTCTCCCCAGGAAGCGTGGAGGATGATTTTCTCCCTCCAGTGCTTTAGCAAGGGCTTCCTCTCTCTCTGTGTGAGCTCTCCCGGTCAGAAAGCCCCGAGGGGCCGTATGTTGGTCCATCTGCTCCTAGAGGTGCTGCACATGGCCTGGAAAGAGTGTTTGCAGAGGTGCCCTGTCGTTATGAGGGGCCCCTTTCCAGTGCCTGCAGTTCCCTAAGGCAGACGAGGATCCCAACATGCAATGGAAATGTTTCACATCTGTGTCTGCTTCTAGATGAGGCTGGTGGCAATGGTTACAAGGCTTCTCAACTCAATGGTGACTGGGAATCTTTGGGCCATCCTGGAGGTAAGTTCTCAATGTCCATTTTGTTGAAAGAGTGAACACTGACAACTTGGCAAGAGTTTATTCACGTGCAGATCTCCTGAAGACCCCCTCACTGTCCACGGCTTCCCAATGTCTTTATCTAGTATTCCTGTCCTCCAGCCTGAGAGCAATCTCACGGGTAATTTAGAGGCAGCAAGGAGCATCTACCTTCTAATTTTTTCTTTCCGTGTGAAATGCAAGTTGCTCGTTCTGCGGCCGACGCGCAGACGTGCAGAAGAGCAGAGAGGGAAAGGGTCGGGCTGAGTGCCGTGCCCCGGGGCGCTTTCCCTTGCGAAGCTCTTTGCCGGCCCCTGGGAGCCTGAGCTGCTCCCTCCCGGTGCCGGCTGCCAAGCCAGTGGGCTTCTTGGGGCTGACTTCAGAGCTGGTGCGAGCTCCAGGGAGTCCTTTCTCCCAGTGGCTCCACGCGTGGTTCATTTTGTCCCAGCGTGGTGCCACTGCAGGCACACGGTAACTCTTTGCACCAAGCTCCTGAGCGGAGGGGAGAGAGGAGTGCCGTGGAGTAATCCCGTCTTTGCCCGGCGCTCCTGAGCTGCCACTCCGATCTGAGGAAGGATCCTGGACTGTGTCACCGGAGCCGTTCTGTCCTGTGCTTCTTTGCAGCCGTGCCTGTAGGCGCAGGTGATGCAGCTTGGCAGCTGGGTTCCAGGACGGCGACTGCAGGAGATGGCACGGGTACGTCCTGGCTTTTCCCTCCCCTTCAGAGCTGCCCGCTCACAGCCCAAAGGTCAGCCGGCCGGGCGCCTCTGCAGGTGGGAGGACGGAGACCTGCCCGTGGGTGCCCTCTGCTTGCGTGACCCCCTCACCGCTCCTGCAATTCGCGTCTGCCAGTGTAGATGACGGGAGCTTCTCTGGGTGATTAATAATTACAGATGTTCCTGACGGGAGGACTTTTCCAGCTCCTCGGCTGGATCTGGTGCAAGAGTCTGGCTGGCATCCCAGGGGTGAGTATTCTGTCCTCTGCTCACCTCACAGGCTGTGCACTGGTTTTGTGCAATTTATTCATGTGGAATCGTACCAAATACGTTCTGTTAAGGTCCTCCCAGAGCTGAAGGAGGAAAAAACTCCCGGGAGCCATCAGAAATCATGAAGAAAATACTGGAGGAGCTGGAGAGAACACAGGGTGGGTACACTTTGCTCTGCCTTAGCCGTGAGACTCGTCAGCCGGAGCTCTTAGATCCGTGTCCAGACACGCCGTCGCCGGCCCAGCAGGCAGGGGTCGAGCAGAGCCTCGCAGCAGCGATGCTGGGTTTCACGCCTTGCAGGCGCTGGCGAGCCACAGAGATGGGGCAGAGCCTCTGCTGCCAGTTGTGGCTCAAGCCAAGTGCCAAGGGCAGCTGGTGCCCCCGTTTTACCATCACGGCTCACAGCTGGCTTGTGCAGATGTCGGCAGGCAGATTTATTATCTAAACCTTACCGATGGCTTTGAGAAGCGTTGCCTCCTGGAGGTGCCACCGCCCTGATGGGGAACGGTTCCACCTGACCCAACTGTCCCGCTTTCTTTCTCAAGAGACAGACCCAGAGGCTGTGCAGGAGTCGGCGTTTCCAGGAGGAAGCAGTGGCTCACGGCCCGCCTCTGCCTCAGCAAGGGAGGCGATGCAAGCCCCCCGCCTGCCAGGTAATTGCTGTGCCGGGGTCAGCCGCTGGCACCCATCGGGATCGCTGTGCGTCAGCAGGCTCTTCCCCCAGTCCCGCTCTTGCACGTCACGTCAGCAGCCAAAGGGGAAAGTGCTGTGGGCTCGCGGCACCTGGGCCACGTTCCGCAGATGATGGGGAATGTAACTCTTAATCCGACGCACCTCCCGCTGTAGCTGCATCCCAGAGCTTGCCATGAGTCCCTCGAGGCCCAAGAGCAGCACAGAGCGGATCCCTCCCGTGAGCCGAGGTCCAGAGCGATGCCTGACTCCCCAGCTGGGCAGGGGCTTGGAGGGAACCTCCCCATCCTCCTGCATCCTCTGTGCCTGAGCCATGCGGAGGCTTTACCTCTCCTCTCTGCTTTTTGGCAGTGCTGTCAAGGTTTGGGGAACATCAACGTGGCAAAGTGTATGAATTTCCTCAAACAAACTCAGGTACTGAGCAGTCTTGCTGGGGTCCTTCAGTGGGAGATAAGTCCAGAACTCTGGGAGCGGCTGCAGGCGGTGCCCATGCTGGGGAAAAGGCAGAAGTGGGGAGGGAGGCTCAGGTGTCTCTTGAGAAGTCCTGACTCCATCCCCTGGTGATGTGGGAGCTGCCCGGGGGCAGGGAGAGTTGGGGGTGGCACTGCCTGCTGCAGGGATGGTTTCTTCTGTCCGTGTCCCTCGAAGGAGCGACTGCTCGAGCAGATGCGCTCCCCGCCACGTGCTCCTCTGGCCGCCTCAGTTTTGTTTGGGGGGACAACCTGTCCCAAAGGGTGGGAGCGTGCCTCCGGGCACCAGCACTGGTGGGAAAGAGAGACCTTCCTGGTCATATGAGACGTGCTGCCAGCTTACAGTGGTGCATTGGACAGACTAACATCCCCAATTGCATCTCCAGGTGCGGTCGGCGAGACAAGCCCCACTGTGTCCCGTCCCCAGAACATCCCAAGTGTTCTCTGTCCGCAAGATGTGCGGAAGGGCTGCATGATCGGCACAGTGGTAATCGTGATTTTCGTGCCACTTGCACTGCTGCTGTGCTACGTCTTCGTCCGGCAGCGGAGTAAGAGCAAAGAGTGAGTCAGTGATTTTCCCTGCACTGCTCCCTTGCATGGCTGCTCGTGGGCCTTGCTCTGGAGAGGAGTCCCTGTGTCCCTCCTGCAGCCGAGTGCCTCAGCGGCTTCCTCTCTCCACAGACATGCCCCTGCACCTTGGGGACACCGGCTGGAAACCAGCGGGTACCCCCTGCGCTCGGTCAGCCCCACCAGCCACCCCGGCATCGCTGGCAGCTGGGACCAACGCCAGCAGCTGCAGCCCCCGCCTGAAACACCGGCACGTCCACCCTCCAGACGGGACTCCCTGCCACCTCCACCACCACCGCCGCCAACCCCTCTTGCCCCCAGCCCAACACTGGCCGCCTCAGTGCCTCAAAATGGGCCCAGCTCCCCCAAACCCCAACCCAGACGTCCTCCCCGTCCCCCAAGGCCACAGGTCCAGCCCTCTGACGAGGGCTGAATGCGGCTCTGCCAGGGTAGGGGTTGAGGGTGGGGAGACAGAGCCCCCCACCCAGAGCTTCGGGGGGCAGCCCTTTCACCCCCCCCATGAAGAGGGACAGAGTCGGTGCACAAGCGTCCACATGGCCCTAACAGCCAAACCCCACGAGGCACCAAGCACTGGCTCATCTCCACGCCCAGCTGCGGCTGTGGATATGCCCACTATGTCCACTCGCGGTGGAGGCAGGCAGGAGCCACGCACGGGGGGCTCCTCTGACTGGCATGCACAGCCCCCGTGAGCTGGGGAAGCGTTCCCCTCACTCCCCCCAGGCACGCAATAAAGTTACTGTAAGCAGAAGATTGCTTTGTGTCTGAAGTTTATCAACTCTTTTGGCCTGAACAGATTTCATCTTTACACAGCAAGCTGTGGTAGTCTACAGGAAGTCTTTAACTTCCCTTGTTAAAAGCCAGGTTCCAAGTGCTATTTTTCCAGTCACCACGCGCTTGTATTCTAAAATTCCCAAAGCAGGGGATGCGTGAAGATGACACTGCAGCTGTGGAGCTGCCTAACTTTCCCCGAGCAGCAGCAGCAGCAGCAGCAGCAGCAGCAGCAGCAGCAGCAGCAGCAGCAAAGACGAAGGCGTTTGCTGCCTACCTGTCCTGGGTTGAGTGAGTGGTGGAGTTTTTGGTGGCAGGGGAGGGGGCTATCGGGGCGGCCCCCTGTGAGAAGCTTCTCGAAGCTCCCCCAGCTCCACGTCAGCTCCACTTCTGTTTGGGAAATTGAGCCAATCGGCTGCGCCTCTGTGATAACGTATTTAAGAAGGGACGTGGTGACGGGCAGTGGGACTTGTGAGGAGGAGTTGCTGCAGCTGCGTGAACACCAAGGTCAGTGGAGGAACAGAGGAAGAAAGGAGGGGGGAGGTGTGCCGGAGCAGAGACCCCCCTGTATCCTGTGGTGAGACGGCAGGGCGGCCCCCCCTGCCACCCATGAAGATCTACGGTGGAGCAGACATTGATTTACGGCCTGTTGTTCCTGCTCAGCTGATCAAGGTTCTGTGCCCGAAGAAGGCCGGGGTCTCATGGGAAAAGGTGGCCCCGCTGCTGTAATTCAGTGCTGGGAGGATTGCAGCATGCGGGGGAGTCCCACACCGGAGCAGCTCGGGAATGGCTGCAGCCGTGGGAGGGAATCCAGCCAGAGGAAGTTAGTGACCCATGACGGAGCAGTGTGGGGAACGCTGCGGTCCATGGGAGGAATTCAAGTCAGAGAAAGTTTGTGGAGGACTGTCTCCTGTGAGAGGGGGACCACGATGGAGCAGGGGGTAACAAGTTTTGGACACTCCCCTCACCGAACACGAAGGAAGTGGCAGCACTGACTGCACCCCCCATTCCCTGCCCCTGCGCCACTGGGGGAGGAGGTAGAGATATCGGGAGCAGAGCTGAGCCCGGGAAGAAGGGAGGGGTGGGGGGAAGGTGTTCTCAAGATGTGGCAATGCTGCTCACTGTCCTACTCTGTTATGTGTTGTTAGTGTCTGTAATAAATGTATGTTCTTTTTTTCCTTCCCCTAACGAGTCTGCCTTTTGCTCGTGATCATAAAAGGGGGATTTTCCCCCATCCCAGTCCTATCTTGAACCCCATGCCTGGCTCTCTGTCCCTTCTCATTGCCGGAGGGGAAGGGAGAGAGAGCTGCTGCATTGTGGTTGGCTGCCAATCAGGCCTAAACCACGACACTACCACAGCCAAGGGCTGAGGCTCCAGCCAGCCCCCAGCCTTCCCCACACGGTGGGGAGCAGCCAGCGCTCGCAATGCCAGTGCTCTCGTGATTAGGCCCCGCTCCGCAGCATTCCTAGGCCCGCTTTTAACGGAACCGCTTGTTAACGGGGCTTTCCACAGAGGCGGCCACCCGTCTATCATCCACCGCCTCTCACGCCCATTGGGTTTGGGGCCGTGCGGCACCGCCTCCACCTGGGACGCTCTCCCCTCACTGGACAGGGGGAAAAGTCTCCGCCCCCTCCGCCATTTCTGCCGAGGCTGCCGCAGGAAAAAAGGCGAAATGGCGCCCCCGGCGGCCGCCCCTCAGCCGCCGCAGTCGACGGGGCCGCTCCGGGCCTCTCCTGTCCTGCTGCTGTCCTGTTCTGCTCGAGAAGCCGTCTCGCCTCGGAAGGCGCTCCGTTAGCGTGGTGTTACTCGACCGAAATCCCTCGCCTGGCGCGTGGCAGGGGCTAGGGCTTCCCGCAGGGCGGCGCGGGCTCTCCCGCGCCCTCGTTTTCGCGCCTCTGGCGGCACACCGCGGCTGCTGTCACGGACGCACCCGGGCCGGGTGCAGAGCAGCGCGCGCGGCTCTGCCCCTGCCGTGGCGGGAAGAGGGGGGCGGGACCGCTGCTCCACAGACAAGGCCCTCAGCCAACGAAACGCCTCGTGGGGCGAGAGGAGGCGCAGGAGCGCTGGCCGCCTAGGGCCGGAGTTCAGCTCCTGCCGGGCTCGAAGAGGCGGCCCCCGCGGGAGCTCCCCTCAGAGGGCGCAGCGGGCGAGTGTTCGGAAGCCCTCCCCTTGGGACGGGGACAACCCCGAAGGGAGCTTGGTGGGACTGAGTGCCCTCAGCCCCCCGCCCCCCTCGGTGAGGGAATGGTGCCTCGGGGTGAGCTTGAGTGAGCGCTTGCCCCCTTCGGGCACCTCTGAGGGGCGGGTTCCCCCTTCGGAGAGTGGGTGCGCACCTTGGTATCATCACTGTTCACGTGCCGTCGTTGTCGTTCTTCCGTGTTGCTGTGCAGCAGCAGCAGCGTCCCCAGCTGGTACGTGGAACTTAGTTAACTGTTATCGGGGCGTTGTTTTGGCTGCCCTGTCCCCGTCATCTCACTGGCTTCGGCTGTTTGGATTTGGTTGCAAACTAAAGTTTGTTAAAGCTTCTTGTCCGTGTGAAGCCGCTTTGGTATACCTCGGTGACCTGGTGATATTCCTGGTGGGATTTTTTGAATGTTCTGGGGGACGCCCAGGGCCTGTAGGGCGCATCAAGGTCTTTCAGAGGAGGAGAGGTGTTCCTTCAGCTTGCTGGTCTGTCTGCAATACCGGAGTCCTCGGGACTAGTAGATGCTCAGGGAGGGAAGTGCTGTGTTTCGAAGCAAACTTGAAACACAGGTCTGTTTTCTGTGCCTCTTAATTCTCACAAGGTCACTGGGCTAGAGATACCTTGGAAATGGGGGAACGCACAGAGTCGTCAGTCTTTGTTTGCAAGGAAGGGTTCTGTTTTCTTGTTCGGAGAAATGTTAGAAATAAGGAGACGTCTGTGAGTTCTTAACAGTTGTGTTCAGGGAGTTTGACTGATGAAGTTCTTAGGTGTGTGGTGTCCTGTCTTAATACTTCACAAATAACGTTTTTTATCTCAAATGTGGGAAGGGAACACGGCGCCTTGGTTTCGGCGATCAGAGCAACGAACAGATCAGACGGTGCCCCGACTCCTGTCTGGACAAGGCAGAGGTTTTGCACGTCGAACAAACGAAATCGTGATGCCTGAACAGCTGAAAGGTGAAGCCCAATGCAGTTTTCATCCTTGTGCAGGTGAAACGTTGTGAAATAAATTCGGCCGGCTGCTAAATTCCTTTTTACTTCCAGGTGTCAGTGGACTCTGTTCCTGACGAATACAGACGCTACAGCACAGCCCATGTTGGGGTGAGCACCTTTTGCCGGGTGTCCGCCAGGTACAACCGAGAAGCGCTTTGTTAGCCCCTGCACTCCCACTGCGGGTCACAAGATGGGGTCTGAATACCCAGAGAGACAGCTGTGCCAGCAGCACGTGCAGCAGCGAAACACCACCTTGCCACTCTATTTTGCTTGGGTACCGTAATAAATCTCGCTAGCTAGCACGCAGAGAGGGCTTCCGAGAAGTAGCAGTTATTAAATGTTATTTTTCAGGAGTCCTGTTCAGGAAGGTGGAAAGAGGTAAATTCAGGTACCGATTTTTAGTAAGTTACAGGTGGTGCTGCCGGCAGTGAGGAGGGTTGCTGGAGGGCTGGATTTGCGGGAGGAGCAGAGTGCTGTCATGAGGCAGACCATCCCATCCGTCAGATAAATGAGGAGGGATCCAGAAGTGTTTTCCCCAAATGAAGCATTCTGTGGACGGCACCTTTGTTTTCAAAGCAGGAGATACTTCCTGAGTGTCGGTGTTCTTTTGCGCCTGAGACTTTGCCAGATGCGCGCTGGTTCATGGGTGGCTGTTGCTCGTTATACCCGTAATTGGGAGGTGGCTTTGGTTGTGGCTTAGAGAACAATTCCACGGTATGTCCAGTCAGGCACCAGCCAGTTGTTGACGTGACAGTGAATTGTTTTATGACTTTCTGCCCAACTCGCATCTTGTGTTTGAAAAGAAATGCCAGCCCATCTCTTTTGCTGGACTGCGCGTAGCTGTGGCTTAGCAGGCCGTTTTCGATAGCGCTGATTATTTTAAAAGCAGATCAAGGCACATTGAAACTACGTGACTTGACATGTACTGTCCTAGGAAGAGTCTTTGGTCTTGCAAAATAGCGCCGAGTAGTGCTGCTCACCTTCCTCTCTGTTTCTTCAGGACAGATAGGAACGCGAGAGTCTAAATCTGTTCCTCATCTAAGAGTCGAGACACTAGTGTAAAAGTGACAGCTGAAGGTTTGCTCGCAATTGGGGCGTTCACATTTATCCACCATTTCCATGTGAAATCCTGCCATGTCAAAAGAAGCGTTAGAACTTCTGTTGCAACCTCTTTTCACAGCGTCTGCTTAGTCACGCGCAGCTTTCCTGAAGAACCTCATAATGTTGTTTGGAGAGGTGCCACGTGCCAGCCAAGAGGTCAGCAGGCCCCTCTGCAGTTTTGACAGCCTCCAACGCTGTTGGGCCCCCCTGTCGTTACGAGGGGCCCCTTTCCAGTGCCTGCAGTTCCCTAAGGCAGACGAGGATCCCAACATGCAATGGAAATGTTTCACATCTGTGTCTGCTTCTAGATGAGGCTGGTGGCAATGGTTACAAGGCTTCTCAACTCAATGGTGACTGGGAATCTTTGGGCCATCCTGGAGGTAAGTTCTCAATGTCCATTTTGTTGAAAGAGTGAACACTGACAACTTGGCAAGAGTTTATTCATGTGCAGATCTCCTGAAGACCCCCTCACTGTCCACGGCTTCCCAATGTCTTTATCTAGTATTCCTGTCCTCCAGCCTGAGAGCAATCTCACGGGTAATTTAGAGGCAGCAAGGAGCATCTACCTTTTAATTTCTTCTTTCCGTGTGAAATGCAAGTTGCTCGTTCTGCGGCCGACGCGCAGACGTGCAGAAGAGCAGAGAGGGAAAGGGTCGGGCTGAGTGCCGTGCCCCGGGGCGCTTTCCCTTGCGAAGCTCTTT